CTTTACTGGCAAAATGAAGGGTTTGACTTTGTGCCCTGTGACTTTTATGCTAAGTAGCAGCATGAAGTAACAGTACACATCTCTTCATCTATTACAAGTGAGTGTACATATAGGGTAGATCTCGACTGGCCAATGAGAACTGCTGACTATCTCCCCTTGCTCCCTGTGCAAGCCAGTCAATCAGAAGTATTGGGGTGATCAGAAAGGCAGTCAGGTTTTGCATTTGATGCTTAAGGGTATGTCTACACTTCAAAGAGTAGCCCACAGTGCAAAGTTTTAAAGCCCAGATCACTTAACTTGGGCTCCAGGGATCAAGCTGTGCGGCTAAAAATAGCAGTGTAGATGTTCCTGCTTGGACTGGAGCTCAGGCTCCAAGGTCCTTCCCCTTCACCAGGTTTCAGAAAAACATTTTCCATTTCCAGGCAATATTATTAATATTAGTCCACCACTCTCTAGAGTTCAAGCAAAAAACCCCTGCAACACAATTTTCTCCCCCTTTCAGGGTCTGAGAAGGGTCATCCAGCCTCCCCGCTGAGTGAAAAGAACAGTTACTTACCTATGGTAACCATAATTCCTAGAAATGTTATCAGTGTGGTGGACCCCACTTAAAGGCTATGTCTACACTGCAATTAACAATTCGTGGCTGGCCCGTGCCAGCTGACTCAAGCTCATGGGGCTTAGGCTAAGGAGCTGTTTTACTGCACTGTAGACATGCTGGCTCAGGCTGAAGTCCAAGCTCTGTGACCCTTCCACTTTTCAGGGTCCTAGAGCCTGGACCCCTCTCTGAGCAAGAACATCTATACCATTATTAAACAGCCCCTTAGCTCGAGCCCATAAGCCCGATTCAGCTAGCATGGGCCAGTCATGGGTGTTAAACTGCAGTGCAGACAAACCTTAAGTGTCTCATGTGTGAGATCAGAATCTTTTAAATAGCAGTGTCCATTGGGCCATGCCTGCACCAGGCATGTTTTTAATGCTCCTCTCTCCAAAGGCATAAAGTGCGGAGTGGCTGCAATTATCCCTCAGTTCCCTTGCTAAATCATAATCCCAGATATAGGATTGGAAGGTGGAATCCACACTGATTACATCTCAAACAACCACAATTATTACAAGGTAAGTAACCATTCTTTCTTCTTTAACTATATATCCAAGGTGAATCTCACTGTAGGTGACTGGCAAGCAGTGTCTCATCTGGAAGATGGAACTGAGGAGTTCTGACTGACCTAATTGGACGGTGATTGTAACACTGCCTTCTCAAACTTGGCATCTGACCTAGCAGTTAGTTCAAGAGCGTAGTGCTTAATGGACACCAAGGAGTTACTCTGCATAGCAACCTTACAGCTTTCTAATATGAATATGCTCCTGGAGTAGGCAGCGGATGTAGCTTATGCTCTCGAGGAGTGAGATTTAACATTTGGAGGGAGAGGCATCTCATCCATCTGGTAGTAGATTGATATTCACTATGTGATCCTTTTATACATCCTCTGAGAGTATGTTCAAAGCACAAGAGATGATCACAAAAAGAGGAGTGCCAGATTGAAGGGGTTTTTTTAATCAACATAGTATAATAAAACTCCTGAAACACGCAGAATGTGGAGATTCTTCTCCCCCATTGTGGCATGGGCTTTGGTGAAGAATACAGGTAAGTAGTTGGACTGGTTCAAATTAAATTCTTAAACCACTTTACGGATAAAAATTGGATGAGGTCTCAGCTCTGCTAGCTGATGAGATGGCAACTAAGAAGACTGTCTTGAGTGTAATGTGGTGTAGGTAGCATTCCAAAATGAAATGGCTGGAATGGACAGCATTGAGATTCCATGCAAGCAGTGCTCTCTGCAACGTGGGTAAGTATGCAACAACCTCTTCAAGAATTTTGATATCATGGTGTCATAAATATAAAGGGAAGGGTAACCACCTTTCTGTATACAGTGCTATAAAATCCCTCCGGGCCAGAGGCAAAACCCTTTCACCTGTAAAGGGTTAAGAAGCTAGGATAACCTCGCTGGCACCTGACCAAAATGACCAATGAGGAGATAAGTTACTTTCAAAGCTGGAGGGGGTGGGGAGGAACAAAGGGTCTGTCTGTCTGTGTGATGCTTTTGCCAGGAACAGAACAGGAATGGAGTCTTAGAACTTGTTAGTAAATAATCTAGCTAGAAATGTGTTAGATTTCCTTTTGTTTAAATGGCTGGTAAATAAACTGTGCTGAATGGAATGTGTCTTTGTGTCTTTTTGTAACTTAAAGTTTTGCCTAGAGGGATTCTCTATGTTTTGAATCTGATTACTCTGTAAGGTATTTACCATCCTGATTTTACAGAGGTGATTCTTTTAGTTTTTCTTCAATTAAAATTCTTCTTTTAAGAACCTGATTACTTTTTCTTTGTTCTTAAGATCCAAGGGTTTGGGTCTGTGTTCACCTATGCAAATTAGTGAGGATTTTTATCAAGCCTTCCCTGGGAAAGGAGTGTAGGGCTTGGGGGGATATTTTGGGGGGAAGACGTCTCCAAGTGGGCTCTTTCCCTGTTCTTTGTTTAACACGCTTGGTGGTGGCAGCATAGGGTTCAAGGACAAGGCAAAGTTTGTACCTTGAGGAAGTTTTTAACCTAAGCTGGTAAGAATAAGCTTAGGGGGTCTTTCATGCAGGTCCCCACATCTGTACCCGAGAGTTCAGAGTGGGGAAGGAACCTTGACACATGGGATGCATGAAGACTAAAGAGAACTGATCAGGTGGATTCCATGCAGAGATTATTGCAAGGTGGACTTGATGGAACTGAATGAAAGCCCAGATGCAGATACAAATTTTGGGCTCTTAATATAGCATCTCAAAGGCGGAGAAGCAGCTGTCTGCAGCTCACAGTCTATGAGATTGCTTCCCTGCCTTCCAGATCCTATGTTCCTTCTTCCCACCTTACTTACTTTGCAGAAGCAGCTGCCTCCATCTACAGCTGGCCTGACATGGCAATACTGAAGTCGGGAGAGGTTTCCTAAATAGCTTGGCTGCTTAAACCATGGTGATAGGAGTATGGAGGATTTTGCTGCTCCTCTTGATCTATCACCTTCCCTTTCTCTGTATATGGGGGGAGAGGAAATATAGCCTGCTTCCCTGCCTTCGAGATCCTATATTCCCTTTCCCCCACCTGTATACATATTGGTATGTCTGGTTTGGTTGGGGATGGACAGTCCATTTCTAAACACTGAGACCCTGAAGGAGGAGTCTCTGGTCTACTCCCAAGATTCCCTGCTGGATGTTGGTGAGAAGGTATGCCCTGCTAATAGGGACGCTGAATAGATTTGTCCAGGGGTGGTGCTGATATATGATAGTGGTGGTGGAAGGAAAGGTGCATGCATTGGTACTGATGAAGATCTCAGTATCAAAGACATTGCCACAGAGGATATTACTTCCTCTGCTGGTACCATGAGTGATTCTGTTGCTGGTGCCAATATAGGTACTGGAGTAAACAGTATCAATGTCGTTGCTGGGCTTGTGTATTTTTATGCTGATCTTTGGCCACTATAAGTGGTTAGTGGTCTCCTCCCTGGAGGGCTGGTATTTTGACCTCTGCTTATGGGAGGACATAAAGCAGTGCCTGGAGTCATGCCTATCTCTATTCTGGACGTCCCTGCCTCTGTGAGGAGGTGGTACAGGTCTTTGGCCCCAAGGCTGTAAGTACCAGGGGTGACTTTAATTCCAAGACTTTACTCAACAGTGATTTCTTTTTGGTACCACTCTCCTTGTGTGCTGGCTGTTAAGGATACTTGCACAGGAAGACTTTCCGATTATCTCTTTTTCCTCTGGGTTTGATGTAACTCTCACGGATTTTCCCAAAAAGTGAAGCTTGAAGTGGGCATCTTGGGATTTCTATGTCTGTGCTGAGAACAAATTGCACATTGAGCACTTGTTCAGCGTATGCAACTCACTGAGACAGAATGGACAGCAGCTATAGTAGTTGGTGAGCAGGATTATGTAATTGCAAAATGGACAAGATTTAAAGCCTTTGAGTTCACCATCACGTGAGGACAAGGGACCAGGGTAGTAAGAAAACACAAGGAGAATTTTGTTTGTTTGTTTTTATCATTTAAATGGAAAGGGATAGAGAAACTAATAAGAGGAATTAATTTTGATCAAAGGGTTTCTGTCTTGTTGCCAAGGTAGGAGCATGAGGATGTGCATGGCACAAGCAAGGCCTAACAGACATTGCTAATCAAAAGATTCCAGTCTTGTGCATGAGACACATTCATACCTACTGTGGGATCCACTCTAACAAATACTCAAAGAAGAATTTGCACTTCCCCATCCGCAGATTCACCTTTTCTTCTTCTTTTAGATCTAGCAGCTTGGCCCTGTTGCTTAAATTAACCTCAGCTGAATCAATTATCCAGATATTTATTCTCTGCTGGTTCCACTCCCAATCCTGCAGAACTGCTACAGAAAGTGCACTCTATGCACAGCTAAGAGATTCTTAAGAACTACACAGGTAGCACGCCCCATTGCAAGCACTCATCAAATCCACTTTCTCTGTGTTTTGCCAATTATGATGACAAAGTAAGTTTTTACTCTTTTTCACTCCTGTTAGGGCAGCAGGGCCAACACAGCTATAGGAGATGGAGATGGATTCCATTCTGGCTTGTGCATCATCAGTAGAATTGTTACTTGGTTTCAACTGCAGAATTTTTATATTGGTGCTGCATAAGCCACAAAGAAAACACCTTGAGATTCAGTTGAGTTTCTAATGGTTGCAAATAGGAAAACAAAACAAACATCTTTTTTACCTGTTAACTGAATAGATTTGAGATGGAAGGCATTGAAAGGTGGTAAATATGGAATCCTATTGTGCCATGTACATAGTCACTCTTTCGAGTAGCATTGCACTTTAACTATGTAATTACTATTATTTTATGTTAGCAGGCTTTTATCCCTGTTTTGACTTCAGCCTCCCAGTATACAGTAAAGATAGCTATCAAACAGAACAGGCTAAGAAAAGAAAACGTCTGAATGGCAGTTCTTTACAAAACAGACTTATTTATAATAAGCAAGTTACTGATCAGGGCAGAATAATATTTCAAACTGGACTGTATTACAAAACATATCTTCAAACATCCATTTCTGTTGGATTATTGCTGAGAGATACTAATTGGTCTATTTCAGAAACTAGACTAATTTACAAACATTCATAAAATAGTGAAAAAGTCGCATGCTTTAGAAACTTGATACATTATCATGCTTCTGGACTAAAAACAATATGAATACAATAGCAAATGAAGGACATTGTTAACATAGTTTAGTAATGTTTACAGTGCTTGTTCTTCTGTTTTATCTGACTCTTCATGCTTCTTCTCATTTGTCTCTGCTGATTTTTTAGCTTCAGGTTGAATCCATGGAGGGCTGTGCAACTTCTGTTAACCAACACAATGGGGAAAACAGAATCAGTGTAAGTATTATAATATTATGGAATGTTACACAGATGAATAGTGGGATACTAAATAAAAAAGGTCATCTTTCTCATCAAGAAACACAGGCCTCGATTTTGATCTCATTTTAAATCAATCCTGATTTAAATCAAGAATTACTGAACTGAGGAGTAAGTGAGAGGAGAATCAGGCCAACAATCTGTGGTCATCATATTACACTGGAATACAAGGAATCAACACTGAATGCTTAAAGTGCCATAGGAATAATGTGCGCACAGCTGTATTTATTTTTGCTAGACTTTGTACTGCTTTTGAAATAACTATAGTATGTCTTCTGAGTGCACATATACATGCATGATACATGTATATGTATACACATATGTATAATGTGTGTCTCTCTATATAGAGTTAATCTACATTCCATGAAACCTGTAGAATTTTTCTCAAAATACCAAAATTTTGATTGTAGAAACAATTGTATGAAATCAATTGCTCACCTTTTATAGATTTATTATTAGAGGATACTGCTAGGAAGATTTCGAACAACAGAATATCCTTCAACTGGTTTCTGATTGTCTGGTTCAGAATTCTGGTCTCTGCTAGAAGAGGTCCTAGCCATTTTGTTGACCAGGGTGAAAAAAAATGTTGATGCTCCCCCCACACCCTAAGTGGCAGAGGGGGAAAAAAACCAGCTGGTTAATCAGTGGTACAAAAATGGCTGGAGAATTAGAATGGAGCAAACCAGCTGAGCTGCCCAGAGGTACAGCACTTCCCCTCTCTGCTACAGAATATCTATGTAACTGTATTTTTATTGGACCAACAGATGAAGGGGAAGCAGAGTTTCACCAAATCATAGTTAAATCACACCTGGAGTTGCAGCTAGCGAGGGATGTTAAGAGTAACAAGAAGGGTTTCTTCAGATATGTTGGCAACAAGAAGAAAGCCAAGGAAAGTGTGGGCCCCTTACTGGATGAGGGAGGCAACCTAGTGACAGAGGATGCGGAAAAAGCTAATGTACGCAATGCTTTTTTTGCCTCTGTCTTCACAAACAAGGTCAGCTCCCAGACTACTGCACTGGGGAGCACTACATGGGGAGGAGGTGGTTCGGGACTATTTAGAAAAACTGGACGTGCACAAGTTCATGGGGCTAGATGCATTGCATCCGAGAGTGCTAAAGGAATTGGCAGATGTGATTGCAGAGCCATTGGCCATTATCTTTGAAAACTCATGGCGATCCGGGGAAGTCCCGGATGACTGGGAAAAGGCTAATGTAGTGCCAATCTTTAAAAAAGGCAAGAAGGAGGATCCTGGGAACTACAGGCCAGTCAGCCTCACCTCAGTCCCCGGAAAAATCATGGAGCATGTCCTCAAGGAATCAGTTCTGAAGCACTTAGACGAGAGGAAAGTGATCAGGAACAGTCAACATGGATTCACCAAGGGAAAATCATGCCTGACTAATCTAATTGCCTTCTATGATGAGATAACTGGTTCTGTGGTGAAGGGAAAGCAGTGGACGTGTTATTCCTCGACTTTAGCAAAGCTTTTGACACGGTCTCCCACAGTATTCTTGTCAGCAAGTTAAAGAAGTATGGGCTGGATGGATGCCCTACAAGGTGGGTAGAAAGTTGGCTAAATTGTCGGGCTCAACGGGTAATGATCAATGGATCCATGTCTAATTGGCAGCCGGTATCTAGTGGAGTGCCCCAAGGGTTGGTCCTGAGGCCGGTTTTGTTCAATATCTTCATTAATGATCTGGAGGATGGTGTGGATTGTACCCTCAGCAAGTTTGCGGATGACACTAAACTGGGAGTGGTAGATACGCTGGAGGGTAGGGATAGGATACAGAGGGACCTAGACAAATTGGAGGATTGGGCCAAAAGAAATCTGATGAGGTTCAACAAGGACAAGTGCAGAGTCCTGTACTTACGACGGAAGAATCCAATGCACTGCTACATACTAGGGACCGAATGGCTAGGCAGCAGTTCTGCAGAGAAGGACCTAGGGGTGACAGTGGATGAGAAGCTGGATATGAGTCAACAGTGTGCCCTTGTTGCCAAGAAGGCCAATGGCATTTTGGGGTGTATAAGTAGGGGCATTGCCAGCAAATCGAGGGACGTGATCATTCCCCTCTATTCGACATTGGTGATGCCTCATCTGGAGTACTGTGTAGTTTTGGGCTCCACACTACAAGAAGAATGTGGAGAAATTGGAAAGAGTCCAGCAAAGGGCAACAAAAATGATTAGGGGTCTGGAACACATGATTTATGAGGAGAGGCTGAGGGAACTGGGATTGTTTAGTCTACAGAAGAGAAGAATGAGGGGGGATTTGATAGCTGCTTTTAACTACCTGAAAGGTGGATCCAAAGAGGATGGATCTAGACTATTCTCAGTGATAGCAGATGACAGGACAAGGAGTAATGGTCTCAAGTTGCAGTGTGGGAGATTTAGGTTGGATATTAGGAAAAACTTTTTCACTAGGAGGGTGGTGAAACACTGGAATGCGTTACCTAGGGAGGTGGTGGAATCCCCTTCCTTAGACGTTTTTAAGGTCAGGCTTGACAAAGCCCTGGCTGGGATGATTTAGTTGGGATTGGTTCTGCTCTGGGCAGGGGGTTGGACTAGATGACCTTCAGAGGTCCCTTCCAACTCTAATATTGTATGATTCTATGATAGTTATACACAGGGTTTGGAAATTTTTCTCTCCCCTCCCCCCCAAAAAGGAACACTGAGTTTATAAGAATGGCTGAGCTGATTATTAGGGCAGTCAAGTTCTTTAAGTATTGTAATAGTTCCTAACAGAAGGCCATCTCAAACCACCAACTTCAATCAAGTGGAGCGGAAGTCTTCATTGTGATTAATGAGGAACTATCTAGAAATCACTGACTTAGAATAAGCAGATATAGTTCAAGGAATTTTTCATTTGATAAAGACACTTTTATAAAAGGGCTCAATTACTCGAAGACAGAAGTACCTGAAAGCTAGGATCTGTTTCTGCCACCTTGAGGTGAGGAGATGTTGAATTATTGTGCTTCCCCAAACAAGTCTTGCCAACCTGCAAATACAATCATTGAAACCATATCACTGTTACAAAGGTTTTGGGAAAAAAATCAGTGATTCTTCTTTCCTTCAGTAGATGGGGTTGACACTTATATAGCCCTTTTTATGTTCAAAGCTCTTTACTAACATTCTCCAATTTATCCTCACAACAGCACTGTGGGGCAGGTAGATAAGTAATTACAATTCCTATATTACAGATGAGGAAACTGTGGCAGAGAATTTAAGTAGCTTGGTCAATACCACAGAGAGAGTTGGAGTAAAAACTGGAATTAAGATTCAGGACTTCTCGATTTCCATTCCTTTACCTAAACCACTGCGTCATCAGTAGGACAATGGAATTGATCAACAGATTGAGTGGGAGGAGGGCATCTGGCTCTCTAAGTACAGAAAGTGCATTATGTCCAGCTCTTTAGGTGAACATGAGATGAGAGGGACAAATCAGCAAAGTTTCTGGAAAGGAAAGCTGTGCTTTTGTTATCTATTAAAAATCCTTTGAGCATGTCAATAGAATAGTGAATAAAACAGCGCTGGTTGATATCATTTATTTGAAGTTCTTAAAGACTTTCTTACTAAAAGGAAACAACATAGTCATAGACTGAGAGGTAAAGTTCTGTTATAGATCAGGGACTCTCTCATAGACAGAAAGCAGAGTAGAAATATTCACTCAATTTTCTACACGTCAAAAGTCTAACCTATAGTCTAGCCTGTTAAGACTGGCATTTATTATATTTATTCATGAGATGGAAAGGAAGTGAACAGTGGTGTATAATTGTTCAGGTTAGTCTAGGGAAAACCTTGAGAAGTTTAAGAAAGACCTAACAAAGCTAGGTGAATGGGTAGTGTGATGACAAATGAAATTTACTAAAGGGGCATAAAAAAAACCAAAAACTAACTAACAAACAAAATATTAAGTTGTGTTTAAAAATAGTAGACAATAATACTAAATAATTATTAGACAATTTTATAATTGACAGTTTGCCATCACCTACAAGACTGAAATGTTTTGGTCATTTTGTCTCAGAAAAGATACAACAGAAATAGAAAGGATCCAGTGACAAAAGTTAGTAGAGGCTTGGAAAAACATTTAAATTGGGAAAGATTAACTGTAGAGAAAGGAATGGTTTAGAGCAGAGACAAGTAATGGAGGCATGATTAGGATTAATAATTGTTTTTTATAAGGGACCAATCCTTCATGCTTCGTTTTACAATCCAGCCATTAACTGATGTGGTTCTGGGGATAGGAAGAAATTTCCGCTATGGGCATGATATTCCAGCAGGTGTAGACCCGCTCCAGAGCTCCATGGTCCAACTGACTCTGTTCCTGCAGAACACTACTGGAAACCAGTGAGAAGAGGCATGTAGGTAGTCGCTGAGGAGCTTTCCAGTCCTGTCTCCCAGAAGCAGACTCCAAGATTCCACCTTCCTCAGCCCACCTATAGGCCTCATCCAAAGCCCACTGAAACATGACTCCCATTGATTTCAATAGGCTTGGGATCAATCCTATCATAGTAGAATCATCATGATTGACATCAGGGGAAGCAGAGCCTCCTCTAATATCCCTGTTTCTCCCCACTGAGAGATAGTCAATACATTGAAGGGGTTCCTCTAGGTGGGCAAACTACGGCCCGCGGGTTGCAAAATGGTATGGAGGGCCTGGTAGGGAAGGCTGTGCCTCTGCAAACAGCCTGGCCCCCACCCCCTCCAACTTCCCACCCCCTGACTGCTCCCCTCAGAACCCCCAACCCATCCAACCCCCCCTGCGACTTGTCTCCTGACTGTCCCCTCCCATGATCCCCCACCCTAACTGCCCCCTGGGATCGCACCCACTATCCAATGCCCACTGCTCCCTGTCCCCTGACTGTCCCAACCCCTATCCACACCCCCACACCCTGACAGGCCCCCCAACCCATCCAACCCCCCCCCCCTTGTCCCCTGACTACCCTCTCCCGGGACCCCAGGACCCCACCCCCTATCCAGCCCCCCGCTCTCTGTCTTCTAAATGCCCCCCCCCGAACCTCCGTCCCATCCAACTGCTCCCTGACGACCCCCTGCCCCTTATCCAACCCCGCCTCCCACCCGCCCCCTTACCATGCCGCTCAGAGCAGCAGGACAGGCTTATTGGAAAGCCTAGGAGATGAGTGGGCGCAAGCCGCGCTGCCCGTGCTGCTGTGAACAAAAGGGGACAGCGGGGGACACGAAAAAATTTGCCCACCCCTGCTCTAGGCACTTTCTCTTCAAAAAGCACCAGAGCCTGACAGCTCTAAACAGCTTTGTTAGCTAGGAATGAGGTCTACGGGTGTAACTGGTACAACTGGTACAATTTGATAAAACAATCACTTAGCACTTTGTTTAATTATAATTTAATCTTCAGCTGCCTCTAGTGCATAAGGACTAGTTTTGAAGGACAGCAAACTATCTGTAGGGCCAGATTCTCAGCTGGTGTAAATCAGCATACCATAGCAATGCCAATTTATTCCAACTCATGATTTCCCTTTCAAGCTCAGAAAAGGGAGTAACCTGCTGTTTTGATAGAGAAGAACTGAAATAGATAGTAAAAACACATCATAATTTCATATCAGAATACTTGTTAAATGGGCCGTAACTCTAAAATCAATTTTATTCAAATTTTGGGTAAGATTTTCTTTTTTGCTTTCAAGTAAATATGGCAATTTTCAAGACAAACCAATGTTCTTATGTTTCAGAAGGGTAAAAATAGGGTTTAAAATGAAACCTGTTTACAACCTTACCTAAGGTGTCATGAATGCTGTTTCTTCACAGTGCCAAAGCCCGATAAAACATTGTGTCTAGTATAATGTGTATGTGTAACTCTGTTAATATAGGATAGATGCACTGGAGACATGAATAATTTACACAACCATATTGCTATAAAATACCTTGAGTCATGGCATAGCTGCCATTATTTCCACTGGAATTGCAATGCAATTTACTGTGTTTTTATTGCAATGCACCACACTATATATCATGGTAACTCAGTGAATGAATAAGGCAAGCCTCCAAAAATTTATAGGTGTTTTTTTTAATTACCTGCTGTATGATATACCAAATGTATTTAACAAATGCTAAACACATTTTTTTAAGTTACAAAGACTGAACATGATATTATGGGCTTTAGAGTATTTTACTGGATCTTATGCATTCATTTTTCAGCAGGTATATATAGCAGAATATTACTTCTCAGGAACCTTAATAAAGATATAAATTAATATACATATAAACATATTAACTCACAAAGACTTTGATACAAATAGCTTTGGGAAACTAAGGTGGGCAAGGATAAAGAATGTAGAGATCTACTCCTCTACGGGTTAAGCAGTAATCTGTCTTTGTGAATGCACATGAAAGGACAGGGATGTGTGCTAGGAGACTTCCTTCCCTGCAACACCCACCTTTCTCTATTAAGCCAATAGAATGGTGGACCAAAATATTAATCCCTGTGAGCAAGGGCTCCTTAGTCCTTTCTCTGCCAACAAGTAAATCATAGAGAAAGAGGTGGGTAGGAGGTAAAGTCATATTTCCTTGCACATGTCCCATACTCCATCCTGCCATCCCCTTCTCCCCCATAGAGAAATAATCTTCACCTCATAATCTGCACGCAGAACAACCATTGCCCATGAGAAGATGAATGAAAACACACTTTGCAAGAATGTTAGCGGAAATGCAAATATAAACAGATGAAAACACAGACAAATGTGAGGGGCAGCAGTGGGATGCGTTCAAGGCAGTGAGAACTAAAAAGTTATCTCAGTTAATTCAGTGCAACTCCACTGACTTCAGTGTACCAGTCTAAAGCTATGCCTACACCAAGAGCTAAGGGTGTGAGTCACTTACACATACCCATGATAGCTCAGTGAATGCTCAGTGAGAGCTAGCACACATATGTGTATATGAGTAGGGGAATCACACCCCCAGTATGTAGTGTAGACATAGCCTAACTGAGGGCAGGATTTGAGCTAAAATTGTGCCAAAAGAACTACACTCATTTTTCAATTCGAATCCAACGCACAGTGTCTCCACTTGACAAATAAATCTTAAAGGAATAGCTCTTTTGAAAATCTGGGAAGGCTTAGCAGTGATATCGAATGGAAACCTTCCAGGATGGATAGAGGTGTTTCATATTCATGGTCCCCAAGTCTACTGGGGTCAATGCTCAATTTCAAATTTAGGCTGGTATCAGGGAAATGAGGTTGTGTAGGAGCTGTTTTGCCAGCTCTACACCATTGCACGATCACTATGTACTAGTGTGGTCCCCAGGGGAGGGAGCAGTACTACACAGGGTCTGGGCCTCTATCCCAGTCTTACTACATCTTATGATGATTTTGAGCTTGATAAATATATTTTTAAAATCCATTTAACTCCAGGAAAGACTTTCTGGGATTCATAGCATATGTTCGTCCTCTCCCTCAACCCAGTCAGAGAAGTTCAGCAAGGTTATTAGGCTTATATGTGCAAAGAAAATAAACTCTGCATCACTAAGGGGAAAATGAAGGCAAGTCCACTTCTCCTCCCTTAGTTAACATCCATTTGAGAGCCCAACAAGCTCAGCTTATGTTTTAAGGGCCAATGTAAAAAAACCCAGAGCTATATTCTTCATGTTTTTCTTATTGTTTGTGACAGATGAATAAAGAATGTGGATGTAAGAAGGGCAGCACAGATGAAAGAGATGGACGAGATTGTACACTTGGGAAACTATATTAGTAAGCAAGGAAGATATGATTAAGCAGAGATGCTTTGATCCAGTTACAAATATTTGATGAACCATGGAAGCTGTTCTATGAAAGAGCAAAAATTCTGGGACATTAAGAGACTCTTCAAGGCTAGTTAGTGTGACTAAAAATTGTGTTTTAATTTTAAGACCATGAAAAAATAACGATGCTTGCACCCCACTTTTCCAACATCTTCTTTTACTCTTGATATTTATTACAGCTCACTGTATTTAAGAACACAAAGTCTTCCTGATGGTAAAAAGGATCACAA